GGAAGAAAGAGGAAGAAAAAGGAAGTTCGGTCTTGCTGTCTCATGCGGTGGCAGAGTTGGAAGAGTGTGGACGAGTCGAAAGGGAGGTAGGGAGAGGGCAGGCACACTTGATGTTAATTTTTATGGGAAAAAAAAATATTGCAGGTTGGGATGTTGGTTGGCTCACGTCTGTAATCCCAGCATTGTGGGGGCTGAGGTGGGTGATCACCAGGTCAGGAGTTCGAGACCAGCCTGGCAGCATGGTGAACCCGGCGGCTGGCCCCCCATCTCTACTAAATATACAAAAAATTAGCTGGGATGGTGCCACACCTGACGGGGGTCCAGTACCGGGAGGCTGAGGCAGGGAATTGCTCGAACCCGCGCACCAACCCGATACAAACTCACCATTGGCATCCAGCCTGGCAGCAGATGAATCCATTGAAAAGAAGAACACAAAAGCCGAAAAAGAAATGCTAAAAATACCAAAGCAAAACAAATTTAGGCATGCGGGTGCTGCATCTGTAGCCCCAGCTATCAGGAGGGCTGAGGTGGTAGAATTGCTTGGGTTCGGGGAATTTGAGGCTGAGAAGTGACTGATGATGTGGTGCCCATAGTGCCGCATGTGTCGCGGAGCCTCGCGTGGGGGGTGTTGGTGGTGGTGTGCGGTTGACAGAGTGAGACACCTGTCTAAAAAAATTAATGAAAAACTTATTTTTTCTACCTCATACCACTACTTCAACACTTCTGACATTCCAAATGTGTGTGGTGGTTTGTTTCCCTAAACACGCAAGGAAATTCTCCAGCAGATCCATTTGGGTGTGTAATAATCTAATTCATTGTCGGAGCACTAGTAGCCTTGGAAGATTAATCATCAAGCTCCGTTAAGGTTAAAGGCGCCAGTTCCAGAGGACTGCTCCCGCCACTTCAGGATGCAGTCAGAAAGCCCCATGTTATGTATTGCCCTGTATCCTTGATTGACAGCTGTAAATCAGGGTTCCTTATGACGCTCCTCCTTCAGGTTCGATTAGAAACTCAATGGGAAACACTTAACTTATGTTTACTCATTATTATTAAAAAATACAAATGAACAGCCAGATGGAAAAAGATGCATAGTGTAAAGGGTATGGGAGAAGAGACGTGGAGCTCTCATGCCCTTTCTTTGGGCACCACACTACAGGAAACCTCAACATTTTTCAGCTCTCTGGAAGTTCTGTGAACGGCTGCCCATTCTTGGTGTGTATGGAGGCTTCATTACATAAGTTGCATTGATTGACGCACAATCCCTTGGCCCACTGATGAGTAACAGAACCTGTGATCCCCTTCCTCCATCTCCAGAGGTGGGGGGTGGAGATGGGGATGAAAGTGCCCAACCTGTTCTAATCTGCCTTGGTCGTTTCTGGTGACCGAACCTGCATTCTAGAGCCAGCCAGTCACCTCATTAGGCATACAAAAGGACACCTCTTACTATTTTGGGAGATTACAAGGAGTTTTTAGGAGCTGTGTGCAAGAACTAGACGGCAGAGACCAAATATACATTTCTCTATAATATCATAGTGTTGTTCTTTTACAGTTCTTGGTGACACCCTCAGGACCCTTTGGGTCGTAACCTCGGACATCCTCTCTTTTTGATAGAAAATGGCCTTTGGCCGAGGCGCCGTGGCTCACGCCTGTAATCCAGCCACTTTGGGAGACCAAGGTGGGTGGATCATGATGTCACGCGCGTCGCTCGCCCTCCTCGCGTTAAACACGGTGAAACCCCTCTCTAATAACACAATACAAAAAATTAGCGCCGGCTGTTGTGGAGGCGCCTGTAGTCCCAGCTACGTCGGTGAGCGAGGCAGGAGAATGGTTGTGAACCCGGGAAGGCAGAGCTTGCAGTGAGCTGAGATCGCGGCCACTGCACTCCAGCCTGGGCGACAGAGCGAGACTCCGTCTCAAAAAAAAAACAAAGAAAAAGAAAAAAAGAAAAAGAAAATGGCTCCATGTTTGCAGGCTGTGTGACATTTCTCAAGCCTTTTTTGCTGTAGATGATTGGGGGCTCTAGAAACAGCCTTTTTTTGAGCTATTCTTATTGCTTTGAGTCCAAGCAGCACAATTTCCTTAAAAATATGTTTGGTTTCTTATGACTCTCAGATGGAATTTATTCCCGTGTTCCAAAAGCCATGAGGCAGAGAGGCCAAGACAGACCTCTGTCTCTACATCTGGGCACATTCAAGCTATTGTGGGTCCGACTACCCCTCTCATGGATTCATGGAAGTCATTTTCTTGCTTTAATTTGGATCTTACTAAGTACTGCCTTAACTCTTGTGGTGGGTCTTAACTCAACAGGAAACTAAAAAAAAAAAAATTCCAATAGGACTATAAAAAAAAAAAAAAAAAAGACTGGCTATAAAGATTCTAATATATGTGAATGCTAATGTATAAGTATAGTAGATCCATAATATAGACATAAGTATTTGTGTTTCTGACTGCAAGAAACACTTTAGTCACCTAAAACATTTAATTTTATAGAAATAATATTTTGTTTTTCAGGTGAAACTTCCACCGATGATGGAAATCATAACTGCTGAGCAGCTGATGGAATATTTAGGTTAGTGTTGAAAAGTGGATTTTATATCTCTTTCAAAACAAACGTTTTCAAAGCTAGTTTATTACTCAGTCTCACCTTTCTGAAGTGCTATTATATAATCTATTTTAAAATTACCATTTTGAATCTGCTAATTAAAAATTTTTATCAGTATGTTACTGTTGTTCTTAGATGGTATAGTCTTCTTTCTGACCAGCATTGAAATTCTGTAATACACATAAGGAATCTAGGTAATGTCTAGAAAACAAGATACATCTTAATCCCAATAAATTGTAGAATGGGAGATGGCACAGAATCGCTGACATTGCATGTGGAAAGTGTTCAAAAATATTGGGTAGACTTGAATTAAAGACAAAGGAGGTGATTTAGAGCAGTGCTACTGAAGGTGTGTGATTAATGGACCTATGCCAGTCTACAAAATGTTAGTTATCAGTCTGCAGTGAGATAGAATCTTCTCCTAGGATGTAAAATATTTACATTAGTAAGCACACTGTTCATTTCAACTGAAATTTTTTATAGGAAAATTGTCTTGTTGAAGGAAGTAATGTATTGAATTGCATTCTTCTCTAAGCTGCTTATTTCTTTTTTTTTTTTTTTTTGAGACAGTCTCACTCCGTCGCCCAGGCTGGAGTTCAGTGGCGCGATCTTGGCTCACTGCAAGCTCCGCCTCCCGGGTTCACGCCATTCTCCTGCCTCAGCCTCCCAAGTAGCTGGGATTACAGGCATACACCACCACACGCCCGGCTTTTTTGTGTGTTTTTAGTAGACGGGAGGTTTCACCATGTTGGCCAGGCTGGCCTCTAACTACTGACCTCAAGTAATCTGCCCACCTTCGCCTCTGAAAGTGTTGGGATTAGAGGCATGAGCCACTGTGCCCAGCCCATTTCTTTACTTCGTAATAGTTTTATCTCCTATGTGTGCAGCTCTAAACAATATAGTTAAATTTTGCCTGTTTTTAAGCTTTGCATTACTTTTAATAGCAAAAACCACAGTTACTTTTGTATCAACCTAATAAATAGAATAATATAGTAAAGACTGGTTATAGGCCAGGCGCAGTGGCTCATGCCTGTAATCCCAGCACTTT